ATGTCACTGCGCCGACGTCTAAAAGCCTTTTTTAGCACGATTTCTTCACACAATTCTCTACTATATCCTATTACCTAAAAATAGGATCTCGTTTGACCTCGTTAGCACAACTACGCAGCACGTGGCGCAAGTGCCTTGGTGAAGACATCAGCAGTGTTGGCCTCAGAGGCCACATACGCAAGCCGCAACTGACCATGCTGCTGTAGCACACGAGCAAGGAAGTAGCGAAGAGAAATGTGCTTTGTTCTGTGCTCCAGTCTCTGCTCTCGACACAAGGCCAGCATGGCCTTGTTGTCTATGTATAGGACTGGAGGAGAACGAGGCGACTCTCGAAGGTCGGTCAGCAGGTAGGTGAGCCAGCGAAGCTCCTGTGCAGCCATGGCCCCGGCGTAGATCTCAGCCTCACAACTGGAGCCGAGAACAGAAGACCAGTGAGTAGCCCGCCACGAAACAGAGCCGGATCCAAGGCTGAAGGTGTAACCCTGTGACGACCACTGCGTAGCCTGGTCGTCAGCCCAAGAAGCGTCCGCGTGCCCAGTGAGGACCACTGGACTCCGCCCTCCAAGCACTAGCCCCATGCCCGACGTACTGCACAAGTAGCGCAACACCCTCTTCGCTGCAGCCATGTGCTCTGGTAGGTGTCTCCCAGGAGCAACATAGCGTGCGAGAATGCTAAGAGGGTATGCAAGGTCAGGTCGTGTGCAGGTCATCTGGTACATGAGGCAGCCAACAAGCTCTGGATACGGGCCACTCGACTCTACAGACTCATCCGAAGGTAGAGCTGAGAGCGAGTGGCGAGTAGGCAGAGGAGTGGCCTGAGGCGAGGAGTACGTGAAGCCGAAGCGCTGAAGGACCTGCTGCACCATGTGTGACTGAGTCAGGGTAATGGTGCGGCGTGCTCTGTCTCGAGTGATCTGCAAGCCAAGGTAGCGAGCAGCACGGATAGGCGACGCAGGGCGAGACGCAGGCTCACGACGCTCAGTAAGACCTCCAGTAGGACCAGTGTAGGGAGAAGGAGCAGGCAAAGGGGAGGTAAGCTGCAACTGTAACTGTGACGGGACTGGCTGTGGACACTCTAAAGAAGGAGGAGCAGTAGAAGGCGGAAGACCAAGAACCTGCTGCAGGAGTGGAACGAAGTACGGTCGAGGCCGCGCGGCAACGCCAGACACAGCAGGCACAGCACCAGTACCCCCAGCACGAGCACCCGCTCCAGCTGCACCTCCAGCAGCGCCAGAACCTCCAGCAGCACCAGGAGTACCCGCAGCAGGACCGCCAGCAGCAGTCTCAGCTCCAACACCCTCAGCAGCACCAGCTCCAGTCAAACCCGCAGACCCAGCAGCTCTAGTACTCCCTGTACGAGCACCTCCGGGACCCGAGACAGCAGCACCCTCAGTAGCCAAAGAACCTCCAGCACCAGCAGCACGCCTCCAGCGCCGGGCAAACCACTCGCGCAGCTTCTGTGGAGAGAGTGGCTCCCGCAGAGAGGAAGCACCCGAAGAACCTCCAGGTGGAGCACCTCCAAGCTCAGCACTCCCAGGCTGAGCACATCCAGGCTCAGCACCCCCAGGCTCAGCACCCCCAGGCTCAGAACCCCCAGGCGCAGCACCCCCAGGCTCAGCACCCCCAGGCTTAGCACCCCCAGTCTCAGCACCCCCAGGCTCATTACCCCCAGGCTCAGCACCCCCAGAGTCAACACCCCCAGGCTCAGCACCCTCAACAGCACCAGAGTCACCAGCGACCTCGACAGGCTCGACTGCGTCTACCTGGGACACACCTGAAGGTGACGGACCCTGAGGGTGGAGGGGGTCTAACGGAGGGGGACCTGGTACAAGGAAGAGCGGCGGCGGGGGGAGGGACGGAGTGCGGTAGGGGAAGAGGCGGTAGTAGGGGACCGACTCGTCAAACGTGACGTCCTGGGAGGACAGAACATGGCGAGAGGTGGGGTGGTAGAACTGCCACCCAGGCGCGTCAAGGGGGAACCCCAGGAAGACGCAAGGAGCAACACGAGGGGACAGCTTGTCCGCAGACAAGTCGCGGACAAACGCCCGAGATCCTCAGACCCGGAACGCCGACGCATCGCCAACCTTCCCAGTCCACAGCAAGGCTGGGGAGGTCTCCGGCCTGGAGACCCTGGGGTGTAGGTTGATCTGATGCGCCGCGTACCTCCCCGCAAACGGCCACAGAAAATGGGGAGCAGCCGCATGCATCATGCGACAGTAGGCTCTCAGAAGGCCAGAAGAAAACTCTCCGCCTTTGTCCGAGTGCAGACGCAGAACAGGAAAGTCTGAGCCAAAGCTCTGCCTGAGCTGGAGACGAGCTGCGCGGATCCAGTCGATCAGCACCTCAGTGACATCTCCCTTGCTGCGCAAGGGGAAGACTGCAGTGTAACGCGAGTAGTCGTCAACAACGAGCAGGAAGTAGCGCTCGTGACCCTTTCCACGGACGCGGGCTGGGCCCCACACGTCCATGTGAAGCGTCTGCAACGGGGCCTCTGTCGGAGGAAACTGGGAGGAGTGAGGGGCAGCACGCTGGCGCCCCTCAACAAAGGGGACACAGGTAGGGCCAGCAGGTGAAAGTGGCGGGGCCGCAGCAGAGGGCGGCGGGGCCGCAGGTTAAAGTGGCGGGGCCGAAGATGAGAGCGGCGGAGCCGCAGTAGTTGAGGGCGACGGGGCCGCAGTTGAGGGCAGCGGGGCCGCAGTTGAGGGCGGCAAGGCCGTAGCAGAGGGCGGCGAGGCCGCAGATAAGGGCGGCAGGGGCCGCAGCAGTTGAGGGCGGCGGAGCCGCAGTTGAGGGCGGCGGGCTGTGTAGCGAGATGGCGGGGCCGTGAGGAGGGCGGCGACAGGCCGTTGCTAGGGCGGCGACAGGGCCGCTGGTGAACGGGCGGCTCGACGCGGCCGTTAGGGCTGTGCGCCGCGACAGTAAGGGCGGCGCGACGGGCCGCTAAGGGCGGCGTGACAGGACGCTAAGGTGACGCGACGAGGCCGCTAGGAAGGGCGCGACCCTAGGCGCGCTTCGATTAGGGGCAGGACGCGCCCCGGGCAGGAAAAAAAAGGGATCGGTGGGCCCTAGGAACAGTTCCCACAAGGGAACCTGCTCGATACCATGAGAAAATGTGAACGAGAATGAATGAACTATGAAACAGCTGGGTACAAGTACTAACCCTAATTGGGTTGTACCCCTTATGGGCTACCCCACTATGGCCTACACAATAAGCACAAGCTATATGTTCTGACAAGTTCCCTACTACATCCTATTTTCTAGCCATAGGAACTGGTTTGAGGTCGTTTGCACAACTACGCAGCATGTAGCGCATGTTTGTGCGTTCGCTGGCCGAATCTGTGCAAGGATAGGCCTGTGCGCAAGTTGTTACTGCGCCAAGATGAATTATATACATACATAATTCCTGTTGCGATATGAAATTACAGGAGAAGGTATTCTTGTATGCTGCATGAGCCGACTCTACCGAGTACGAAGTCGAGGAGTCAGAAGAGTCGAAGCGACGCAGCAACCGTCTGACCAAGACCGATGCAGGCAGAAGCATTTGAAGAGAAAAGAGCGGGAGCAGGTTTGAAACGAGTTCCCGCGCCGCACGGTTTGAATTTTGATGTAATAAGGGACTGTACCACTTAGAGTACACGGCTAGTCTAGGCCTTTTCGTATTCCCTTGTATTCTTATATAAACCCAGTGTATGCATGCTTATATTAACTCAATGATTTACATTCACTCTGACCTAAGATTCAAACTCTCGCTGCAACACTACTCTGCAATCAAACTTGAGCGATCCTTCGCTAAGTTCCACTTGTCGAACTTATATGCTATAGTCTGTTTAGGGTGTAGTGGGGTAGTCAATATGGGGTACAACACTTTAGGGTTTCCTACTTGTACTCCTCATGCTGCTCAATGTAATAATTCCTTCCTCAGATTCTCACATGGTATCAGAGCAGGTTCCCTAGTGGGATCGCTTCCTAAGGGCCCACCACTAAAAATTTTCTGCCCGGAGCGGGCTTCTCTCCTGCCCGAGTCGCGCCCCGTGTGCCCTCCCTCCCGTCGCGTCCCTAGCCCTTAGCGGCCCGTCGCGCCCTCCTCAGGCCCCTAGCGGCCCCTTTCGCGGCCCCTCACGGCCCCTCTCACGGCCCCGTCGCCACCCTGCCAGCCCCGTTGCCGACCCTAGCGGCCCGGTCGCCGCCCTGCCGGCCCCGTCGCCGACCCTAGCGGCCCCGTAGCCGCCCTAAGCGGCCCCGTCGCCGCCCTATCGGCCCCGTCGCCGACCCTTACAGCCCCGTCGCCGACCCTTACGGCCCCGTCGCCGCCCTAAGCGGCCCCGTCCTCGCCCTATCGGCCCCGTCGCCGACCCTTGCGGCCCCGCCGCCACCCTAAGCGGCCGCGTCGCCGCCCTATCGGCCCCGTCGCCAACCCTTGCGGCCCCGTCGCTGCCCTACCGGCCCCGTCGCCGGCCTAAACGGCCCCGTCTCTGACCCTACCGGCCCCGTCGCCGCCCGACCGGCCCCGTCGCCGACCCTCGCGGCCCTGTCCGCCCTCACCGGCCCCGTCGCCGCCCCTTCACGGCCCTGTCGCCGCCCTCAGCGGCCCCGTCGCCGACCCTACCGGCCCCGTCGCCGCCCTACCGGCCCCGTCGCCGACTCTAGCGGCCCGGTCGCCGCCTTCAGCGGCCCCGTCGCCGCCCCTTCACGGCCCCGTCGCCGTCTCTACCGGCCTCTTCAATGCCGCCAGCAGCCCAGCAGCCGAGGCGCCCGACAGCCAAGCCGCCGAGCCGCCCAGCAGCCGAGCCGCCGAGCCGCCCAGTAGCCGAGCCGCTAAGCCGCCCAACAGCCGAGCCATCGAGCCGCCCAACAGCCGAGCCGCCGAGCCGCCGCGCCGCCCAGGAGCCGAGCCGCCGAGCCGCCCAGCAGCCGAGCCGCCGAGCCGCCCTTCCTTCCGGTGCGCCCCGGCCCTACTACCTTGGACTTGTGAGCTCATTCCCTCATAGACCACTGCAATCATGGCTACCCCTAGTGTCGTTACCTTTTATACTGAGGGTCGTGCTGTTGACTTTGAGGTCTGGGTCGATGACCTCCAGCTATTCTTACAGTGCGATAGGGCGGACGGACTCTCACTGTTCGATCTTACCTCTGGTGTTTCTCCTGCCCCGCCTGCTACTACTGACAGCACTGTTCGCTCACAGTGGGCCACGCGCAATGCTGCTGCACGTCTTGCTGTGCGTCGCCACTTACCGACCACTGAGCGTGCGCACTTTAGCCTGTACAAGAGTGCTAAGACCTTGTACGACACTGTAGTTGCACGCTACTCTTCCCCTGCCACCGCTGCACTTAGCCGCCTCATACTACCATACATGTTCTCTGACCTTGCTGCCTTTCCCACAGTCGCTGACCTCATTACGCAACTTCGCACTAGTGACACTCGCTACCGCACTGCGCTTCCCGCTGAGTTCTGTGCCAAGAACCCCCCCCCCCCCCATGTACATCACCCTCTACTACATAGTCACCCGGCTCCCTGACTCCCTTCGCTTAGTCAGGGACCACTTCCTCTCAGTTTGCCCCACCACACTCACCGTTGACCTCCTCGAGGAGCGCCTCCTAGCAGCAGAGAAGAGCATAGTCGCTGTAGGAGCCTCTCGTGGTGACCCTCGCACCCCCGTCTTTGAGGGGTGTTCTCCCTCCCCCCTCTTGCCCTCGGTTGCTTCTGCTGCTACGGCCGACCTAGTTGGCTTCGAGTCGGTCGGCACTGCGTCTGTCCCTAGCGGGAAGCGCCGCACCGGCAAGGGCAAGGGGGGCAAGGGCGCTGGGGGGGCCAGTGGGGGCGGTGGAGGTGGTGGTGGAGGCAGTGGAGGGGGTGGGGGTGGTGGTGGGAGTGGTGGTGGGGCCGGAGGTGTCGGTGGCAGTAGTGGAGGCGGAGGAGGCGGCAGTGGTGGCGGAGGGTGCGGAGGCGGCGGTGGTGGCGGAGGTGGCGGAGGTGGCGGAGGTGGCGAAGGCGGCGGAGGTGGCGGTGGAGCTGGTCGCAGCGCTGCGCAGAGGAGTGGCTCCGGTGGTGGTCCGCGCCAGCAGCAGCAGCGCGGTCGTGAGACCCTGTCCCCTTAGCAGCTTCGTGAGTGGTACGCTGGGCGTCAGCGCAGTGGGGGTACTGGTCCCTGCACCTACGTCCTCTGTACAGGCGACCGCGCTGGTGAGCAGTGCGGGGGCACGCACTCCACCCAGCGGTGCTTCGGCCGCCTGACGGACGCTTGGCGTCATCAGTTCCCTGACGCCACTGAGATCCCTCGCTGGGGAGAGCTGTCTAGGGCGGGGGTAGCTATCTTTGATCTTGACTTTGATGCTATTCTTGTTGCCATAGATGCTGTGTCTACTAGTGATGAGGGTGACTGTTACCTGTGTGTTCCGCCTGACCCGGGCATTGAGGCTGCTGCTCTAGGTGCTGGTGAGGCTACTGCTCCAGGTGCTAGTGCGTCTGCTGCCCCAGGTGCTGGTGAGTCTGCTCTCTCAGGTACCACGTCGGCTCAGGCCTTGAACACCTTCACCCTTGACTCGGGTGCTTCCCGCTCCTTCTTTCGAGATCGCACCACGCTTACGCCGCTTAGTCGGCCGGTTGCGGTCTCCCTGGCGGACCCCTCTGGGGGTCCTGTCCTTGCTAGCTTCTCCACTGTCTTACCGTGTCCGGCAGCCCCCTCTGGCACCCTGTCAGGTCTCTACCTCCCCTCGTTCTCTACGAACTTGGTGAGTGAAGCGGATCTACAGGATCGGGGGGTTGACCAGTTCACACCTGCGAGTCAACATGTGACCCACTGTACGTGTGCTCGGACGGGCCGACACTTGGCCACGTTCACCCGTCAGCCGGGGTCGAGCCTGTACACACTGACCATTGAGTCTCCTCCTGTTACTGAGTCTGGTCAGGTAGCTGCGTCGAGTCAGGTGTTTGCTGCAGCGTCCAGGTCTGGTCCTGAGTCTGCGCCCTGCTAGTGTCGTCTCCTGTCCCACCAGACTCTCCTTTGGCACCACCGCCTTGGTCACCCCTCCCTGCCTCGTCTCCGAGGCATGGCCTCCCGTGTCCTTGTTTCTGGTCTCCCCCAGTCCCTCCCTTCCCTTCCTCAGGGGCCGGCCCCTACCTGCGTCCCCTGTGTCGAGGGGCGGAAGCGCGCCGCTCCTCACTCCTCCGAGTTTCCTCCGACAGAGGCTCCCCTGCAGACTCTTCAATGGACGTGTGGGGCCCCGCCCGCGTCCGTGGCCAGGGTCACGAGCGTTACTTCCTGTTGGTGGTTGACTACTACTCGCGTTACACCACGGTGTTCCCCTTGCGCAGCAAGGGTGACGTCACTGAGGTGTTGATCGACTGGATCCGCGCAGCTCGTCTCCAGCTCAGAGAGAGTTTCGGCTCGGACTTTCCTGTTCTGCGTCTGCACTCTGACAAAGGCGGAGAGCTTTCCTCTGCCCATCTTGGAGCCTTCTATCGTGCACAGGGCATCCGCCAGACCTTCACGCTTCCGGCCTCTCCAAAGAAAAATAGGATTGCTGAGCGCCGCATTGGCATGGTCATGGACGTCATGGACGCTGCTCCCCATTTTCTCTGGCCGTTTGCGGTTCAGTACGCGGCGCATCCGCTCAACCTTAAGCCCCGGGTCTCCTTGCCAGAGACCTCCCCCACATTGCGGTGGACGGGGAAGGTTGGCGATGCCTCTGCGTTTCGGGTCTGGGGATCTCGGGCGTTTGTCCGCGACTTGTCTGCGGACAAGCTGTCCCCCCGTGCTGTTCCCTGCATCTTCCTTGGCTTCCCCCCCGACGCGCCTGGTTGGCAGTTCTACCACCCCACCTCGCTCCGTGTTCTGTCCTCCCAGGACGTCACCTTTGACGAGTCGGTGCCTTACTACCGTCTCTTCCCCTACCGCAATGCGCCCCTCCCCCCACCGCCGCTCTTCCTTGCGCCAGGTCCTCCCCTGGTAGACCCCCTCCCCCCTCAGGGTCCTGCCCCATCAGGTGTGTCCCAGGTAGACGCAGTTGAGCCTGTCGAGGTAGCTGTTGACTCTGGTGCTGCTAGGGGCGCTGTGCATGTGGGTGCCGGGTCTGGGGGTGTGGAGCCTGGGGGTGCTGAGTCTCGGGGTGCTGAGCCTGGGGGTGCTGAGTCGGGGGGTGTTGAGCCTGGGGGTGCGGAACCTGGGGGTGCTGAGCCTGGGGGTGCGGAGCCTGGGGGTGGTGGGTCTACTCGTGTGGTCTCTGGCGGTGCTTCGTCGAGGCGGGAGCTACTCTCTCCGCAAGAGCTACGCGAGTGGTTTGCCCGGTGCTGGAGGCGTGCTGCTGGAGCTGGAGGTACTACTGGTGCTGCTGGTTCTTGAGGTGCACGTCCTGGCGGTTCTGGAGCTGGTGGGACTAGGAGTCCTGCTGGAGGTGCTACTAAAGCTGCTGGAGCTGGAGCTCCTGGGGGTGTTGGCGCTGGTGGTTCTGCTGGCGGTGGTGCTTCTAAGGGTGCTGGAGTTGGCGCTGTTGGAGCTGGAGGTGCTGTTGGCGCTGGTGCTGCCGCTGGGGGTAGTGGTGCTGTCCCTGCTGGTTCTGGAGGTGTTGCGCAGCCGAGGCTGTACTTCGTTCCGCTCCTTGAGCAGGTTCTTGGTCTACCGCCCTCTACTGGTCCTGCTCCTCCCTTAGCGTGTCCACAGCCTGTCCAGTCGCGGTCACAGTTATAGCCCACCTCCCCCCTGCCTGCTCCTTCTCCCTACACTGGTCCTACTGGAGGTCTTGCTGAGCGTCGTGAGCCTGCGTCTCGTCCTGCGTCGCGTGTTTGTGCTGCTCGCGCTAGTGGTCGTGTTCCGCGTCCGCGTCCTCCTGCGGTCCCCGGCACACACCAGATGGCACTGCGTCCTTCCACTACTCCTCTGCGTGTCCCGTTGCCGTCTCCTCAAGAGTCCTCTCTTCCTACTCTTGCTGACCCTGAGTCTGACTCTCTACATGCTACCAGCCTACTCTCACGCGTCTCCTGGCTATTGTTGTCACTGACCCTTCTTTTGATTCCACTGCTGCGTCAGCCTTAGTTGCTGGGCTTGTCGACTTTGCTGCTCGTTGTCGTCTAGACTACGCTGCTAGTCTTGTTGCTGAGTCTGCGTCTGTCTGTCCTCCGTCCGTCGGGGGTGAGTGTGTTCTTAGCACGGACGTCCTTGAGGAAAGGCATGAGGAGTTCCAGTGTTTTGCTGCTTCTTTGCCTCATCTCGTGTCCACGCTGATTGCCCCTGAGGGAGACCCGGATGCACCAGACATCCCGACTCCTCGATCGTACGCTGAGGCGATCGAGGGTCCCTACTCCTCACAGTGGCAGTCAGCCATGGACGAAAAATAGGCTTCTTGGAAGTCCACAGGCACCTACGTCGACGAGGTTCCCCCACCTGGGGCGAACATCGTCAGTGGCATGTGGATTTTCAGGGTGAAGCGGCCGCCGGGTTCTCCGCCTGTCTTCAAGGCGCGTTACGTGGCTCGAGGCTTCAGTCAGCAGCAGGGAGTTGACTACTTTCAGACCTTCTTCCCTACCCCAGAGATGACCACTCTTCGGGTGCTGCTGCATATAGCCACTCAGCGCGACTACGAGCTTCACTCTCTTGACTTCAGCACTGCTTTCTTGCAGGGCAGCCTGCACGAGGAGATCTGGCTGCGCCGCCCACCTGGCTTCACTGGGTCGTTTCCGGCTGGTACCCAGTGGAGCCTCTGGCGGCCAGTCTACAGTCTCCACCAGGCGCCCCGTGAGTGGCACGACACACTGAGGACTACACTTGCGGCTCTTGGGTTTGCTCCTTCTACTGCCGACCCGTCGCTGTTTCTGCGCACCGACACCTCTTTGGCGCCGTTCTAGATCCTCGTGTACGTCGACGACTTGGTCTTTGCCACTGCTGACACTGCTGGACTCGCCTACGTGAAGTCCGAGCTGCAGAAGAGACACACGTGCACAGACCTGGGTGAACTGCGCAGCTACCTTGGCTTGCAGATCACCCGGGACAGAGCACAGCACACCATTACCCTGACTCAGTCACACATGGTGCAGCAGGTCCTTCAGCGCTTCAACTTCACGTACTCCTCACCTCAGGCCACTCCTCTGTCTACTCGACACTCACTCTCAGCTCTGCCTTCGGATGAGTCCGTAGAGCCGAGTGGCCCGTACCCAGAGCTTGTTGGCTGCCTCATGTACCTGATGACCTGCACACGACCTGACCTAGCATACCCTCTTAGGTTCTTGGCACGCTATGTGGCTCCTGGGAGACACCGACCAGAGCACATGGCTGCAGCGAAGAGGGTGTTGCGCTACTTGTGCAGTACGTCGGGCATGAGGCTAGTGCTTGGAGGGCGACGTCCAGTGGTACTCACAGGTCACGCAGACGCTTCTTGTTAAAGTTAGAAGAGAGAAGAAGAGAGGAGGGGGCTGCACTAGCAAGAATGGGGATACAAATAGCAAACCCTAGAAGGGTTGTACTCGCTATAGAGCACCCCACTACAGGCTAGAGCATAAGATAACATTCTGACACACCCCCATAGCCAAAGTGGGGTGTAATCAGCAGAGCAAGCAAAGCAGTACAAGCTCAGGGTGGATCACAATGTCACCACACATTCTGAGCACAAGTTCAAGAAGCAATAGTTAAAAAGTTCACAATTATGAGCAAAGCTAGAGCTAATCACAGCGGACAAGTGGGGAGGAGGAGCTGTGGGGGAGAGAAGATGGGAGGCAACTGCTGACGCCGTAGACAAACAGACGAGCTGCTGGCTCAGTGGCTACCGGAACAGCGCTCCGGACTACTGGAGTAACTGGCCCCGCGCCTAATAGTAGCGGCAGACGAGCAACGGACCCACGGGCGACTGGCGACTACCGGAGATTGTAGCCTCCGGACTACTGCTGCTGCTGACGACAAGACTGCTGCCTCCACTCAGCCTCCCCCAACTGCCCCACACTCTCGGCACACGCCCACTGCTCAAACCCTAGCTCCACTCCCACGCACCCCCCTTAAACCCTAAACCCCAGTCTCCCACTCATCCACCCCCCTCAGCGACAGCTGCAGTAGTGGGAGACGGAGGAGGAGGAGGAGCAGGGGACCGCGCATACCCGCCACCCCCATACCCGTCACCCCCATACCCTGAGTGTGCGGTAAGCAAGCTCAGGTGTGCGCGAAACGTGCACAAGCGTGCGGGAAGCGAACTCGGGTGTGCGGTAAGCAAACGCAGGTGTGCGGGAAGGGGGGGCCGCAGGGTGACACGCGGGTCGACGGGGACGGGCGCACGGGTCGTCAAGGGCGGCGCGCGGGTCGACGGGGCCGCCGTGAAGGGCGACGCAGCATGGCCGGGGCGAGGCCGGTCCTGGCGCAGCCCGTACGGGCCGCGCGCTGCCTGGACGGGCGGCGCGCAGGCCACGACGGGCAATGGGGGGCGACGCGCGGGTCCCCGTCGCCCGTCGCAACGCCTCCCGAGGGCGACGCGCCGAGGGACGGGGCAGAAGCCCGCCGCGCGCCTCGGGCGCACAGCGGGCAGAGAACCGCTGCGCGCCTCGGGGCGCACGGCGGGCAGAAAACCGCCGCGCGCCTCGGGGCGCACGGCGGGAAGAAAAACTGGCGTGCGGCACAGAGAGTAGTAGTGGTAGTTGCAGCGGAAGCAACGAGGTGGTAAGCCCACCCACAAGATCGATCCAAGGGGATCGACCTGCTCTGATAGCATGTTAAAGTTAGAAGAGAGAAGAAGAGAGGAGGGGGCTGCACTAGCAAGAATGGGGATACAAATAGCAAACCCAGTTCACACGCAGAGTTATATATCAAGAAGAACAAGCAAGGCAGTGATCTCAACCTAGCAAAGGTAAGCATGCAAGTGCAGGTATATATAGATCACAGAACAAGCAAAGTCAAGAGGTGAGCAAGTGAGGCCAAGTAGGCACAAGACCTAGCAAAGTACAAAAGCGCTGATGATCACATGGCGGAAGTGTCTTGGTAAAGATATCAGCAATGTTGGCCTCAGAGGCCAAGGAAGCAAGGCGCAGGTGACCGCGTTGCTGCAGCTCACGAGCAAGAAAGTAGCGAAGAGCAATGTGCTTCGTCATGTGCTCCAGTCTGTGCTCCCGACACAAGGCCAGCATGGCCTTGTTGTCTACGCACAGAACTGGAGGAGAACGAGGCTGCTCTCCTAGGTCAGTCAGCACGTAGGTGAGCCAGCGTAGCTCCTGTGCAGCCATGGCCCCTGCGTAGATCTCGGCCTCACAGCTGGAGCCGAGAACAGAAGACGAGCGGGTAGACCGCCACGAGACAGAGCCGGAACCAAGGCTAAAGGTGTAACCCTGTGACAACCGCTGCGTAGCCTGGTCGTCAGCCCAAGAAGAGTCTGCGTGACCTGTGAGTACCACTGGACGTCGCCCTCCAAGCACTAGCCCCATGCCCGACGTACTGCACAAGTAGCGCAACACCCTCTTCGCTGCAGCCATGTGCTCAGGTCGGTGTCTCCCAGGAGCCACATAGCGTGCCAAGATGCTAAGAGGGTATGCTAGGTCAGGTCGTGTGCAGGTCATCAGGTACATGAGGCAGCCAACAAGCTCTGGGTACGGGCCACTCGGCTCTACGGACTCATCCGAAGGCAGAGCTAAGAGCGAGTGGCGAGTAGACAGAGGAGTGGTCTGAGGCGAGGAGTACGTGAAGTCGAAGCGCTGAAGGACCTGCTGCACCATGTGTGACTGAGTCAGGGTAATGGTGCACTGTGCTCTGTCCCGGGTGATCTGCAAGCCAAGGTAGCTGCGCAGTTCACCTAGGTCTGTGCACGTGTGTCTCTTCTGCAGCTCGGACTTCACGTGGGCGATTTCAGCAGTGTCAGCTGTGGCAAAGACTAAGTCGTCGACGTACACGAGGATGTAGAACGGCGGCAGAGAGGTGTCGGTGCGCAGAAACAGCGACGGGTCGGCAGTAGAAGGAGCAAACCCAAGAGCCGCAAGTGTAGTTCTTAGTGTGTCGTGGCACTCACGAGGCGCCTGGCGGAGACCGTAGACTGGCCGCCGGAGGCTCCACTGGGTACCAGGAGGAAACGACCCAGTGAAGCCAGGTGGGCGGCGCAGCAAGATCTCCTCGTGCAGGCTGCCCTGCAAGAAAGCTGTGCTGAAGTCAAGAGAGTGAAGCTCGTAGTCGCGCTGAGCGGCTATGTGCAGCAGCACCCGAAGAGTGGTCATCTTCGGGGTAGGGGAGAAGGTCTGAAAGTAGTCAACTCCCTGCCGCTGACTGAAGCCTCGAGCCACGTAACGCGTCTTGAAGATAGGAGGAGAGCCCGGCGGCCGCTTCACCCTGAAAATCCACATGCCACTGACGATGTTCGCCCCAGGTGAGGGAACCTCGTCGACGTAGGTGCCTGTGGACTTCCAGGAAGCCATCTCTGCGTCCATGGCTGACTGCCACTATGAGGAGTAGGGACCCTCGATCGCCTCAGCGTACGATCGAGGAGTCGGGATGTCTGGTGCATCCCGATCTCCCTCAGGGGCAATCAGCGTGGACACGAGATGAGGCAAAGCAGCAGTAAAACACCGGAACTCCTCCTGCCTTTCCTCGAGGACGTTTGTGCTAAGAGCACACTCACCCCCGACGGACGGAGGATAGACAGACGCAGACTCAGCAACAAGACTAGCAGCCTAGTCTAGACGACAGGGAGCAGCAAAGTCGACAAGCTCAGCAACTAAGGCAGACGCAGAAGTCCCCCAAGTAGGAACAGTAGGAACTCTAGCTCCAGCAGCACGGCTCCAGCGCCGGGCAAACCACTCGCGCAGCTCCTGCGGAGAGAGTAGCTCCCGCCTCGACGAAGCACCGCCAGAGGCCACACGAGCAGACCCAGCACCCCCAGGCTCTGCACCTCCAGGCTCCGAACCCCTAGGCTCAGCACCCCCAAGCTCCGCACCCCCAGGCTCAGCACCCCCAGACTCAGCACCCCCAGGCTCAGCACCCCTAGAATCAGCACCCACAGGCTTCGCACCCCCAGACCCGGCACCCGCAGGGTCAGCACCCCTAGCAGCACCAGAGTCAACAGCAACCTTCACAGGCTCAACTGCGTCTACCTGGGACACACCTGACAAGGCATGGCCCTGAGGGGGGAGGGGGTCTACCGGGGGAGGACTTGGCGCAAGGAAGAGCGGTGGCGGGGGGAGGGGGGCAGTCCGGTAGGGGAAGAGACGGTAGTAAGGCACCGACTCGTCAAAGGTGACGTCCTGGGAGGACAGAACACGGCGCGAGGTGTTGTGGTAAAACTGCCAACCAAGCGCGTCAGAGGGGAAGCCAAGGAAGACGCAGGGAACAGCACGGGGGGACAGCTTGTCCGCAGACAAGTCGCGGACAAACGCCCGAGATCCCCAGACCCGAAACGCAGACGCATCGCCAACCTTCCCCGTCGACCACAAGGTGGGGGAGGTCTCTGGCAAGGAGACCCGGGGCTGAAGGTAAAGCTGATGCGCTACGTACTGAACCGCAAACGACCACAGAAAATGGGGAGCAGCCGCGTGAATCATGGACGTACGAGCGACGTCCATGACCATGCCAATGCGGCGCTCAGCAATCCCATTTTGCTGTGGAGAGGCAGGAAGTGTGAAGGTCTGGCGGATGCCCTGTGCACGACAGAAGGCTCCCAGATGGGCAGAGGAAAACTCCCCGCCTCTGTCAGAGTGCAGACGCAGAACAAGAGTGTCTGAGCCGAAACTCTCTCTGAGCTGGAGACGAGCTGCGCGGATCCAGTCGATCAACACCTCAGTGACGTCACCCTTACTGCGCAAGGGGAACACTGTGGTGTAACGCGAGTAGTCGTCAACCACCAATAGGAAGTAACGCTCGTGACCCTGGCCACGGACGCGGGCGGGGCCCC